ATCGAATGTTATCAAATATCGCTATTAATCGAATCGGATATATAGCGATATTTAGTATTACTGCTAGTAAACAAATTTGCTATATATCGATTACTATCACGATTGTGTATAATCGGCAGGGGTGATTGGTATCAATATATAATTACCCAGCTAGTAATCAATATATATCGGTCTATTTTTTTTGCTGATGATATACTACTGTACAACATCTACCAACCAACTTCCATCTCTCATCACTTATCATATTACTCCTAATTCAGTACTTGTATTACTTCCAAATTGGTGTCCTTCAAGTGGGCGCTCTTCAGGCTTCTGTTTGGTGTCCCTAGAGGAGTTACTTTATGGGCCTAGCCGTATTTTAAACAGTTAAGTTGCCAAACTAGAATGATATTTTACATTGATCCAGGTATTCACGTTGTACACCACCAAATTAGGCTATCGATCCTTTTATAGTACTCCCTATTAGTATGGTGTTACAGAAGTCTAGATCCTTAGGACGGGAGTTCTGTACCTCATTTAATCACTATCACAAGCCAGTGACCCGGGCTTCTGCCATATTTCGTCATAGACTTACGACTATTACTCCCTAGCCTGTCTTTATTTTCGTACTACCGGATCACTTGCTTCCATGCTTTTCGGAGTTTTTTTAGCCAGTTTTTATTGTTTCTTTGCGCCAAAGATGTTTTATATTTGGTAAAGCCATCCTCTTACCACAGCCCCTTACTATATTCACTGCTTCTCTTACCACTTCTGGAAATACCATATATAGCCATCCTCCCAATCAAGATCCCAATGCCACCTTAGGGTTGTTGGTACTACCTTGCTAATTGTGAATTCACACACATAGCCTTCTGCAGTAATACCTTCTGTGACCCATGTCACATGCAGTACCCAGTCTTCTCTATAGCTTAGAGCTCCTTCCAAGAATTCTTTATCGGCCAAATATATATATCATATAGTCTTACTACCACAGGGTTTTGTATTCAAAAGCTCCCGAAGGTTACAGAAATAATTAATTAAATTAATTACTACCAGCTGTAATCGAACCATTGATCTCGTCTGTAGAGAGTTAGGTGCCTAGACCACTAGGCTACAAGACCCTAACTCTCTAGATACTACCTATATTAAAGTATACTGTATATATATGATTTTAATTTTTTTTTTTGTTTTGTTTTGTTTTTTTTTTTTAATATAGCAATAGAAACTGTTGATATATATTTATAATTCATCCAGTTTGAAAATAGAAAAATGCTATATATTATGTTTGAAGAATATCATTTGCTCGACCATGTCTGGATAAAGCATGTTATGTAATACTATAATGTGTAATCCTGCATCTGAAAATAATTGTTTTGAGGGAACCAATGTTGCTAGCACTGCCAAATATTTTCGAGCTAGATTTGATAATGTAGGATATGCTCTAGTTCTATCTTTCTACCATATTAGTGGGTTATAACCCTATTTCTCAAAAGGTTCACGAAGATATCAGTCTACTTCAGTTTCATTATGAATTTCATTATCAGGTTCTTCACTACTATATCAAGTCATTGGTTGTTGTGGGTTCAAAAGTTGACATAGCAGGTGACTTAACAAGCTCAGCTAAAGGTTGGTAGTGTTTTTTCTTATCACAAAGTATTCGTACTCTATTAATTATAGTTGTCTTTATTAATTCATCACCAAGAAACTTTAAATATTTGATTCTTGGGTCTAAAAACAATGCTACAAGTCCAATTTCTTCAGGAATTTTCCAATATTCTTAAAAGGAAAAATAACTTGCAATCTTAATCAAATTACATAGATTTTCAGTTATAACAGAGGTTTTATTGATTGATAACCTTTAAATTACAAGCTATTATCTAGATGTGTATTTTTTTTATTTTCTCTTTGACTTTGATTTTTTGCTCGTCTTTGCGATACTTGTAATAGTTGACAAAGTTGCTCTGAACTTACTAGTATATCAAATTCATTTTCTATCTCTAATTCATCAGGATTTTCATTATTAGGTAATTGACTTTGGCTAAAAAAATAAAAATAAAAAAGTAAAAAATTAATTAATATTTGAGTCAAAATGAATTACAAATTAGAAAAATAAATAAGAACTCTAATTAATTAAATTTGGTGTAACAAAAAGAAACTTCAGGATTTAAATTTTAGATTTTTATAAATTTAAAATCAAATCCAATTTTTCTTACATAGTAATACTTATTTTATTTAGTGCCAAAAAAATTTTGTTAATATACCTAATATAAATAGGTCCAAATAATAATTTACTATAATCATCTTCGGTTTGTTTATAAGAAAGTGTAAACCTCTTAATAAGCAATCTCATTGTTGAATAAGGGTGGGATAGCTTGAACCTGAAAATATGTTGGTAGCCTTATAAAATGGTTTCAATAATAGAATAAAACTGTTCAATAATTGCCATTCAGTTTTAGTTAGGTTGATAAATTTCAAATACTCGCTATCAAGTCTGTCACACTGTTTTAATTCTGAAGGCAATATTAAAACAAGGTAATTGATTGCTTTTTATAACTCCTTAAGCCAAGTCCAGGCTAAATACAAAGAATTCCATCTCATTGGTATATTGTTAATTGTTTGGTAAATTTTTAAATATCTATATTTTTCTTAAGTCATTCTGATTGTTTAGAACTTTGAGAAAAAAAAAAATCAAGTTTTTCACCCTTTTTATTAATTGTATTGCAGGCTTAAGACCTTTTAGTACACTTAGTTGAAGTGTGTAAGCAGAGCATGATAATCATATAGCATTGTCCATTAAACTAATTACCTTTTTAACATTAGCCCCATTGTCAGTCGTAATGCAAAAAACTCAGCCTGTGAGCCCCTAATCAGTAATAATTTGATTAAGGGAGTCTTCGATAGCTTCGGCTATGTATAGTGAAGGAAGAATTCAAATTGCTAATAAAGCCTCTTTTAATTTAAAGTTTGAATCGATCCATGTTACCGTCACTCCAATATACCCTTGATTTGCTCTTAAACTCTATATATCTGTTATTAAATTAACAAATCCACCATCAATATTCATCATTTCAAATAGTTGATCCTGACTCCAATCATAGGCTTTGTCAATCATTTTTTTTACAGTTTGCTTGCAAGGAATATGAAACCCTACTTCCATATAATTTAATAGCCGATAAAAAGCTTGACTACATAAAATATGGAGAGGTTGGCAATCTTCAATAATAAATTTAACCAATAGTTGTGCTATCTTTTTTTGCCTCCGTTTACTAATAACATGTGTAGCTTTAATAATTGGACCATTACTGTTTGCTTCTTCAGGGTAATCTTTATTAATACGATATTTAGACCAAAGATAGCCAAGCATATTTTCTATTAAAGAGTTATATATATACCTAACATTAATATATTTTTTTTTTACAAATTTGACAAATATCAAATTTGCTTTCTTTTGTTGATTTATACACAAGTGATTCATCAGACTCAGGAGGATTCACATCTACAGAATTTGTATCAGATCTAGGTGGATTCATATCTACAGAATATGTATTAGATCTAGACAGATTTACATCTACAAAATATATATCATCATCATCTACATAATTATATATTGAAGTGCTTATTCTGACAGGTACACCTATTAAGTTATAATATTTATTAGTGTTTAACTTTTTGCACATACCATGCTTATTTGAATATACCTGTTTATTGTAGTATATACCTTTACACTTAATCATTATTTGGTTTGACAAAACTATAGATAGCTTTTTTTTTTTTTTTTTTTGAGCTACTAGTGAACAATAACCAAAGCGTGGCTATGTTTATTACAATGTTCTGAATATAACCTAGTTAATGCAGTAAGTGATATTATATTCAAAGTTTTTCTAATAAAACAGGTCTAATACATGATTTTTTACAAAAAGTTGTTTCCAAAGATTAGCATTTATTGTGACAGAAATAGAACTTCATTTATTTAGAACTTTAATTTTTCTGTCTTGATTATCGTTATATAACTTTATTTTAAACTTTATTTTTAAACCAGTTGGTAATATAAATTGGGTTAATCGATCATCTATTTACCAATTGGGTCATCTGATTATTATTGGGTTACTTGTTATAAACGGGTTACCTGATTATTAAAGAGTTGTCCAAAAATTATTTTAAACCAGTTTGTAAAAAAAATAATCCAGTTGGTAAATTTTATAGATTGGGTCATCAGTAAATGGTTATCTAGATAATAGTTTGGATTCCTAGTAGTAAGCCTATTGGGGCTATCAATAAGAGGGTTGGAATAGAATAAAATGCTAATAAAAGACCAGAAATTATATTTGAAGTTATTGAACTCAAATTCAAGTAGTTGTACCAAGAAGAGATTTATTGTTGAGACATTTAATAAAATTTGGAATATAGTATTATAGTTGAATATCTCAGATATTTTTAATATTATATATGTATAAATAAAGTAAAATACTAGTAAGGATAGTAAAACAGAGTTTAGCTTTGTATTTGACAAGGCTAATAATATATTGTCTAAAAATTTTGTTGCAAATAGACTAATTAAATGTAGTATTATAGATTCTATATTTTAATAGATAGGATTTAGACATATTACCGGTAGTATTTTGTACTATATTGTGATACTACTTAAAGCTAATTATTTACAAATTTAACAAATTAATTATATTTTAAATAATTTTCTATAGTTAATAAAGATTTGGGCTTTATGTAGAAAAAGTTTGGTAATAATAAATAGTATTTTTGATTTTTTAAAATTGTTTGTTTATCTAGAATTCTTTAACTTAACCTAGTTTTATATAGTAAATATTGGCTACCTTAGAAGCTTTAAATACTATTTAAAATTTTTTTTATTATATAATTTTTTTTAAATTCTTAACAAAAGTTATAAAAATAAACTTTTTAATAGGCGATTCACCAGTTATCTGAACAAAAATTTTTTTTTTTATATATAAATTTTACTATAAGTATAAAAGCATAGCATCTCTATCTAAAACTTTTTTATACTAAGTAAATCACTCTTCGGCTTCTAACAAAAGTTGTAGAGCTCATAAAAATGTATTTAATACTAAA